GAGCAAGAGGCTTGTTGGAGGGCGGACGGGTTAAAGGGGTGCGGCAATGCGGGCGACGGGTGGAGTGCATGCAACGGAGGATCACGGGCGCGCACATGGGCAGCGACGTACCTTCCGCGGTGGCGGGGCCGACGCCATCGCTTCCCGCGTCAGCTGCCGCCCGCACCGACGCAGCGCGCGATAAAGTGTGCCGCGACGACGCGCGCGAGCGCGGGAGAGGGGAGACGCGCGGCGCGGAGGAGAGGAGCGACGGTGAGGTGGCGAGGGAGGGGGCTAGGCGAGACGCGTGCAGGGTCGCTGGTGCCGCCGCGGCGATGAGAGGCGCGAGAGGCGGGAAGGGGATGGCAGCGAGTGATGCGCGTGCGGGTGGCCTGGTGGAGGGGAGGGACGGGTGGAGCAGCCCACAATGCGATCAACGATCTCCATTCGTCAACCGCGCCCGCAATTCAAAACAAGGTCCTGCGATTTATCGACAAGAGCGCGCGACTCAGCGAAAAAGGCGTGCGAGCGCGCTGCGACGAGGTTTGACCTGCGAGCACGTGGCAGCCACGTGTAGCGGGCAACGTCCGATTGAGCAGCAAACGCCAAGACGTTGCCATGGCGATCCGCGATAAATACCGCGTCGCTTCTCAGACGCACGCTCCACTGCCAGCACTACCGCCTCGCTAGCTTGTTTCCGCGCTGCCGCCAGAACTATTAGCGTGTCTGCTCTGCCGCCCGATCGCTGTGGGTGTCTTGTTTTACGCTCGACACAAATTTGAATTCTGGAAAAACAGAACACAACCTCTTTGAACCGATAAACCCCTACGTTGGAACCACACCGTGGTTGATGGAAAAGGTCGTCTTGGGAGTCCACGTGGCGCAGCAACTTTGAGGTTGCTGTGGGAGCAACGTGCAATCCGCGCGTGCCACGACGCAGATGAGTGGGCAGAGTGAGTTTGTGGGGAATGGCGGACAAGAAAGGTGGGAAAAATTATTGTACGGGAAAATATGTGAAGTTGGTGCAATTGATGTGAACGAACGAAGATTGCACTATCGAAGCATGAGTACAATGAGCGAAGGCATGAGCGAAGAACATATAGCGAAACTACAGTGGTAACGGTTAATGTGTGGAAGGTGGGGTGTGAGCGACGGGCCTAGAAGCCGTGTTGGAAAATGTCGAGGCGGAGGTCCGGAGAGCGCGGGTGTACCAACCGAACCGTGAGGTTGGGTCGCGTCGTGAACAGTGGCGGGGAACAGTGTCGAGGCGAGTCTCGCGAGTGGTAACGGATTACTGTTGGGTGCTGTTTGGCGGGAAATAGTGGTGTACGCGCTGAGCAGGGACGCGAAAGTAAGGGAAAATGAATTTTCCATACACTACCCCCCCCTCCCCTCCTAAGGAGGCTCTCCTTACGAAAGCGCGTGTACGTCCGGAAATTTCGGCTGCGCAGATACTCGGTGAGGACGGGGTGGTTTTCAATTCTGTCCAGGGGAACCCAGTTGTCTTCGGTGGGCGTACGATCTCTCCAGCGGATCAGAAATTCGATCCTTCGAGCTCCCCGTGGGTCACGAACTCGTTGGCTCAGAATCTTCTCGGGCGTGATGATTGGCTCGGTCGGCGGGTCGTTGTCATGCTGGCTGGGCGGTTGCGCGGCAGTTGGCTTGTGGATGGTATGTAAGGGCGAAGCAGGCTGACGTGGAAGGACGGGCTGACATACCAGTCAGCAGGGAGGAGGAGGGCGGTGACGGGTGTGATCATGTGGCTGATGCGAAATGGTCCGCTATTTTGGGGGCGGAGTTTTGGGGTGATGAGCAGGCGGAGGTTCTAGGTGTCGAGTAAAACGAGGTCGTCGCGCTGGTAAGTGACGGGTCGGCGGTTGCGGTCAAGCGTTGCGTTTAGCGATGATGTTCGATTTTTTTATTGTGTCTGCTCCGTGCTGCTTGTAAAATGTTCAGCGAACTGTTGCGCTCGTGGCACCGGGCTGTCGGGATTTGGGGTCATGGGTACTGTGGGGTCTTGTCTGTAGTTCAGGTAAAATGGTGACTGTTGGGTCGTGGCGGATGGCGAGTTGTTGTATGCGAACTCGATGAGTGGCATGCTTGCTGTTCCAAGGTGGGTCGGGTCGTCGCAGGCTCGGATGAGTTGCTCCATGGTCTGGTTTGTCCTTTCTGTCTGTCCGTCGGTCTCCGGGTGGTACGAAGAACTAAACTGTAGTCGCGTGCCGAACTGCTGCCACAGGTTCCGCCAGAAGTTGCTGGTGAACTTTCGTGTCGAGATCGCTGATGATCGCTGCTGGTATTCCGTGAAGTCGAACGACGGTGGAGATGAAGAAGGCGGGCTGTTTTCTTCGGCTTGTGATCGATTTCTTGCAGGCTGCGAAATGTGCCATTTTCGTCAGCCGATCGACGACGACCAGGATCGCGTCGTTCCCACTTGCTCCGGCCGGTAACCCTGTGACGAAGTCCATCGTCACCTGTTGCCAAGCACGTTCTGGGGTGGTATCGGCTGCAACTGTCCTGCCGGCCGCTTCCGTGATGATTTCATGAGCTGGCAAGTGGGACACGATGCCACGTGCCACTGTACTCGGTCAACATTTCGGGCCAGTAATAATACCGCTGCAAGCTGCTGCCGTGTTTTTTCTACTCCGAAGTGGCCTGAGGTGACTCCGTCGTGTGCCTCTTGTAGCGGTAATTCCCGTAGTAGTGTGTACCCTCGTACCCAGATGCGGTCAGTGCCTGCTTTTACGTAATAAACTCCCCTTGCTGCTGCGAACTGCTGCGAATTTCCTCCTGTGAAGAACGGGTATGTCTGGAATCCGTGGGTAAATAGTCCTGTCAGTAGTGGGCTGGTCTGGGCAAGTAGTATCGCGTGGATTTGGGCAGTAGGGCGGGTCAGTGCGTCAACGATGTTGGACGCCCCCTTTTTGTAGGTGACCGTGTAGTGAAAATTGGACTCGAGGAAATCGAGCCAGCGGAGCTGTCGTGGGTTGAGGTGGGGCAGTGCGCGGAGGTACTATAGCGACTTATGGTCTGTCCGTACTGTCACGTCTGCGCCGGTCAAGTAACAGCACCACACTTTGAATGCGTGCACGATCGCGAGCATTTTGCCGTCGTGTATCGGGTAATTTTTCTCAGGCGGATGCAGTTTTCGTGACTCGTATGCGATGGGCTTTAGGCCGTTGCCGAAGTCCTGTAGCAGTACGGCTCCGATGGCGATGTCGCTTGCGTCTGTAACTACTTCGAATGGGCGGTGTGGGTCGGCGATGCGCAGTACGGGCGGTGAATAGAGAACATTTTTCAGGGCAGAGAAGGCAGCATGCTCTTTCTCCCCCCACGTAAAAGCGACCCCTTTTCTTAGCAAGTCCGTCAGTGGTGCTGTTAATCGTGCCATGTCGGGGACGAACCGACGCACGTAATTGACAAACCCCAAACAGCTCTGCAACTCCATGATATTCGTCGGGGGGTGCCAGGCTTTTACCGTGTCCAGCTTCTTTGGGTCAATTTCAACCCCAGCCTCCGAAATAACGTGTCCTAAAAACTCTAGCCTGTCCTGAAAGAACTCGCACTTGGAACCCTTGGTCAGTCGCCGGTGCTCGTCTAAAACTTAAAAAACTGCTTCCAGATCTGCTAAGTGCTGCTGCTTATCGCGACTGTAGACGAGGATGCCGTCGAGGTAAACTATCACGCATTTATCTAAGAGTGGCCTAAACGCCTCGTTCATGGTCATCTGGAATGTCGCCGGTGTTAGAATGTAGAACTGAACGAGAATGTGTGAAACTAGGCAGCAGGGTGATACAAGTAGGAAACCCTAGCAATGTTGTACCCCCTAAGGCTAAACCCACTATAGCCTACACAATATGAACATGTATAATGTTTGACACACCCCCATAGGCTAAGTGGGAGACAACCAGATGGTCACAAGACCAGTCAAAGCAAAGCAAAGCAAGCTCAGGGTGGATCTCAAGGAAACCACACAAATTCCGAGCACAAGCAAGTGGTCACAAGACCAGTTCACATGCAGTTTGATAATATAACAAGAGGTACAGTGATCACAACCTAACAAGAGTAAACATGCAGGTATATATATATAGAGATCACAGTACAAGCAGAGTCAAGAAGTGAGCAAGTGAGGGAGAGTAGGCACAAGGCCTAGAACAGTACAGAAACGCTGATGGTCACAAGGCTGAAGCGCCTTGGTGAACACATCAGCAGTGTTGGCCCGAGTGGCCACGTAACGCAGACGAAGCTGACCACGCTGCTGCAGCTCTCGAGCAAGGAAGTAGCGCAGAGCGATGTGCTTCGTCCTGTGCTCCAGTCTGTGCTCCTCACACAAGGCAATGGTGGCCTTGTTGTCAACGTACAGCACTGGAGGAGAACGAGGCCGCTCTCCCAGGTCGGTCAGCAGGTAGGTGAGCCAGCGTAACTCCTGTGCAGCCATGGCTGTGGCGTAGATCTCAGCCTCACAACTGGAGCTGAGAACAGAAGAAGAGCGAGTAGAACGCCAAGAAACTGAACCAGAGCCAAGGCTGAAGGTGTAACCCTGAGACGACCGCTGCGTAGCCTGGTCGTCAGCCCAAGAAGCGTCTGAGTGACCCGTGAGGACAACGTCGCTCCGACCTCCAAGCACGAGCCCCATGCCCGACGTACTGCACAAGTAGCGCAACACCCTCTTAGCGGCATCCATGTGCTCCTTCCGGTGACGGCCGGGAGCGACATAGCGTGCTAGGATGCTAAGAGGGTATGCCAGGTCAGGTCGAGTGCAGGTCATCAGGTACATGAGGCAGCCCACAAGCTCTGGATACGGGCCACTCGGCTCTACGGACTCATCCGAAGGCAGAGCTGAGAGTGAGTGACCGGTAGGCAGAGGAGTGGGCTGAGGCGAGGAGTACGTGAAGCGGAAGCGCTGAAGGACCTGCTGCACCATGTGTGACTGAGTCAAGGTGATGGTGCGCTGTGCTCTGTCCCGGGTGATCCGCAAGCCAAGATAGCTTGTCAGCTCACCCAAGTCTGTGCACGTGTGTCTCTTCTGCAGCTCCGACTTCACGTGGGCGAGTGCCTCAGTGTCAGCAGTAGCAAAGACCAAGTCGTCTACGTAAACAAGAACGTAGAACGGCGGCAGAGTGGTGTCGGTGCGTAGAAACAGCGACGGGTCAGCAGTAGAAGGAGCAAACCCAAGAGCAGCAAGAGTAGTCCTCAGTGTGTCGTGCCACTCACGGGGTGCCTGGCGGAGACCGTAGACTGGCCGCCGGAGGCTCCACTGGGTACCAGGAGGGAACGACCCAGTGAAGCCAGGTGGGCGGCGCAGCCAGATCTCCTCGTGCAGGCTGCCCTGTAAGAACGCAGTGCTGAAGTCAAGAGAGTGGAGCTCGTAGTCACGCTGAGCAGCGACGTGCAGCAGAACCCGAAGAGTGGTCATCTTCGGGGTCGGGGAGAAGGTCTGGAAGAAGTCAACTCCCTCTCGCTGACTGAAGCCTCGTGCAACGTAACGCGCCTTGAAGACAGGCGGAGAACCCGGCGGCCGCTTCACCCTGAAAATCCACATGCCACTGACGATGTTCGCCCCAGGTGGGGGAACCTCGTCGACGTAGGTGCCTGTGGACTTCCAGGATGCCATCTCTGCGTCCATGGCTGTCTGCCACTGAGAGGAGTAGGGACCCTCCATCGCCTCTGCGTAGGAGCGTGGGGTCGGGATGTCTGGTGCATCCGGGTCTCCCTCAGGGGCAACTAGCATGGACACGAGATGAGGCAAAGCAGCGGCAAAGCACTCAAACTCCTCCTGTCTGTCCTCAAGGACGTCCGTGCCAAGAGCACACTCACCCCCGACAGACGGAGGACAGACAGACTCAGACTCAGACTCAGCAACAAGGCTAGCGGCGTAGTCTAGACGACAGGCAGCAGCAAAGTCAACAAGCTCAGCGACTAGAGCAGACGCAGCAGAGGACTCAAAGGAAGGGTCAGTGACAGCAGTGGCAAGGAGACGCGTGACAGTAGGACTGGCAGCACGAAGAGAGTCAGACTCCGGGTCAGCAAGAGCAGGAAGAGAGGACGCTGGTGGAGACGGCAGTGGGACACGCTGTGGAGCAGTAGAGGGACGCAGGGTCATATAGTGAGTGCCAAGGACAGGAGGAGGACGCTGACGTGGAACACGACGACCAGCGCGGACAGCGCGGACAGGCGACTCTGGACGCGGTCTCAGGCGACGGAGGACGAGACTCAGGCTCACGACGCTCCGTAAGACCTCCCGTCGGCGCAGTGTAGGGAGAAGGACCAGGAAGTGGAGAGACTGGCTGTAACTGTGACTGCGACTGGACAAGCGGTGGACTCAGTAGGGGAGGAGTAGGACCAGGAGAGGGCGGAAGGCCAAGAACCTGCTGAAGGAGCGGAACGTAGTACGGCCGTGGCCGCTCAGCACCTCCAGCTCCAACCCCCTCAGCAGGGCCAGTCCCAGCAGCTCCAGCAGCACCGCCAGCAGCAGCAGGGTCCCCAGCAGCTCCAGTACCAGCAGCACCTCCAGCAGTGCCAGCAGCACCACCAGCAGCAGCAGCACCTCCAGCAGCTCCAGCAGCACCAGTACCAGCAGCACCTCCAGCAGCGCCAGCAGCACCGCCAGCAGCAGCAGTACCACCAGCAGCTCCAGTAGCTCCAGCACCAGTAGCACCTCCAGCAGCGCCAGCAGCACCAGCAGCACCTCCAGCAGCGCCAGCCGCACCGCCAGCAGCAGCAGCACCTCCAGCAGCTCCAGCAGCACCAGAACCAGTAGTACCTCCAGCAGCGCCAGCAGCACCTCCAGCAGCAGCAGTACCTCCAGCAGCTCCAGCAGCACCAGCAGCACCTCCAGCAGCGCCAGCCGCACCGCCAGCAGCAGCAGCACCTCCAGTAACTCCAGAAGCTCCAGAGTCCACGACACCGGGAGCGCCACTCCGGAGACTGCAGCGCCTAGCGTACCACTCTCGGAGCTGCTGGGGAGAGGGCAGCTCCCGCCTAGGAGGGGAAGCACTAGCACCAGCTCCGGCACCACTCCGAGCTCCAGAAGCACCTCTTCTGAGGCTGCAGTACTGTAAGTACCACTCACGCAGCTGCTGCGAGGAGAGGCCTCCCCCAGGTGCAGCACGCTCAGGCTCAGTACTCTCAGACGTAGCACTCCCAGGCTCAGCACCCCCAGGCTCAGCACCTCCAGACTCAGCACCCGCAGGCTCCGCACCCCCAGGCTCAGCACCCCCAGACTCAGCACCCGCAGGCTCCGCACCCCCTGACCCCGCACCCCCAGGCTCAGCACCCCCAGACTCCGCAACCCCAGGCTCCGCACGCTCAGGCTCAGCACCCCTGGCAGGACGAGAGTCGACAGCTACCTCGACAGGCTCAACCGGGTCTACCTGGGACACACCTGAGGGAGCGGCACCCTGAGGGGGGAGGGGGTCTACCACAGCAGCACCTGGCGCGAGGAAGAGAGGCGGGGGGGGGAGCGGGGCAGTGCGGTAGGGGAAGAGGCGGTAGTAGGGCACGGACTCGTCAAAAGTGACGTCCTGAGAGGGCAGGACACGGCGCGAGGTGGCGTGGTAAAACTGCCAACCAGACGCGTCCGGGACAAAGCCAAGGAAGACACAGGGAACAGCGCGGGAGGAGAGCTTGTCCGCGAACGTATCGCGAACAAAAGCTCGGGACCCCCAGACCCGAAAACGCGACGCATCGCCAACCTCTCCCGTCCAACGCAGTGTCGGCGAAGTCTCCGGAACGGAGACACGGGGCCAGAGGTTGAGCTGATGCGCAGCGTATCGGACCGCAAACGGCCACAGAAAGTGGGGGGCAGCCGCATGGATCAAGGAGGTACGAGCGACCTCCATGACCAAACCAATGCGGCGCTCAGCAACCCCATTCTGCTGTGGAGAGGCCGGAAGCGTGAACGACTGGCGGATGCCGTGCTCCGCACAGTAGGCTGCCAAGAGGTCAGAGGAGAACTCACCACCTCTGTCAGAGTGCAGACGCAGGACAGGAAAGTCCGAGTGGAACCGCTCACTGAGCTGGAGACGAGCAGCGCGGATCCAAGGGATCAAAACATCAGGGACCTCACCCTTGGTGCGCAAGGGGAAGACCGTGGTGTAGCGCGAGTAGTCGTCAACAACGATCAGGAAGTACCTCTCCTGACCCTGTCCACGGACGCGGGCTGGGCCCCACACGTCCATGTGGAACGTCTGCAAGGGAGCAGTCGTCGGGGGAAACGAGGAGGAGTGAGGAGCGGCGCGCTGCCGCCCCTCGACACAGGGAAGGCAGGGAGGAGCAGGCGAGGGTGGGAGTGGAGGGAGAACCCTGGGAAGACCAGAGACAAGGTACCGGTTGTGCATGGCACGAAGGCGCTGCACTGACGGGTGACCAAGACGGTGGTGCCAGAGGACAGTCTCGTGTGCCAGAGAGCGACACGAGCAGGGGGCAGACAGCTGACCCGACGCAGACGCAGACGCAGCTACCTGTGGGGACTCAGTGGTCAGAGTGTACAGTTCCGACCCCGGCTGCCGAGTGAAGGTAGCCAGGTGGCGGCCCGTCCGAGCGCACGTGCAGTGTGTCACACGCTCGTAGGCAGGGGTAAACTGGTGGACACCCCCGTCCTGGAGCGCACTACCCGCCACCAAGTTCGTAGAGAACGAGGGGAGGTAGAGACCTGACAGAGTGCCCGACGGGACCGCAGGACAAGGGAGAACAGTAGAGGAGGTCGCAATGACCGGACCCCCAGAGGGGTCAGCGAGGGAGACTGCAACCGGCCGAGCAAGCTGCTCAAGGGCAGTGCGGTCACGAAAGAAACAGCGGGAAGCGCCTGAGTCCAGTGTGAAGGTGTGCAGTGCCTCAGTAGACGCAGTACCAGAGGGCGCAGACTCACGAGTACCTAGAGCAGCAGCCTCATCAGCACCTGGGGCAACAGACACACGAGCACCTAGTGCAGCAGCCTCACCAGTACCTAGAGCAGCAGACTGGATACCGGGGTCAGGCGGCACACACAGGTGACAGGCACTCTCAGCACTAGTAGGAAATGCATACATGGCAGTGAGGATAGCATCATAGTCAAGAGCATAGATATCTACCCTCTGCCTAAGCAGCTCCACCCAGTCGGGGAGCTCAGCCGCGTCGCCAAACTCTGTACGCCAGGCGTCGCTCAGACGGGCGAAGCAGCGGGACTCTGTGTGACCAAACGTCCCGCAAGGCTGACCAGTCCGAGCACCAGTGCGAATGACGTACGGGCAGCGAGCAGTACCCCGTGACCCTCCACGCTGAGCGTACCACTCACGAAGCTGCTGGGGCGTGAGGGACTCACTCGGACGTCGCGGGAGCTGCATCTGGCCACCGCCAGGAGCAGCAGTAGCAGTAGTAGTAGCAGCAGCGCGGCCACCCCTACAACCCCAACCAGCATACCACTCACGAAGCTGTTGGGGCGTGAGGGACTCACGCGGACGGCGCTGGAGCTGCATCTGGCCACGCCAGGAGCAGCAGTAGAAGTAGAAAGAGCAGTAGCAGCAGGAGCAGCAGTAACAGCAATACGGGCAGGGCAGTGCTCACCAGTGGCGAGAAGAGCAGGCGTACGACGGTGGTAACGGCGAGGCCGCTACCACTGCAGGGCGAGGGCTCCGCGGCAGCTGCAGGGGCGGCTGCTCCAGGGGCCAGGGGCGGCTGCAGAGGTCCAGGGGCGGCTGCTGCAGGGGCGGCTGCTCCAGGGGCGGCTGCTCCAGGGGCCAGGGGCAGCTGCTCCCTTTTTTTTTTTTTTTTTTTTTTAAATAATTAATTATTTATTTTAGGGTTTGGCAGAGCGCACTCGGCGCTGTAGAGGCGGCTCGCGGGCTGCAGGGTGGCTCGGGCAGCAGCGAGGGGGGGGGGGGGGGGGGGGGCGGCGCGCGGCTCCCCAGGGCGCCGCGACGGGGCAGCGGGGGGGGGGGGGGGGGGGCCGCGCGCGGCTCCCCAGGGCGTCGCGACGGGGCAGCGGGGGGTCGCGCGCGGCTCCCTAGGGCGTCGCGACGGGTCAGCGGGGGCCGAGCGCGGCTCCCCAGGACGTCGCGACAGGGCAGCGGGGGCCGAGCGCGGCTCCCCAGGGCATCGCGACGGGGCAGCGGGGGCCGAGCGCGGCTCCCCAGGGCGACGCGACGGGATAGCGGGGGTCGCGCGCGGCTCCTCAGGGCAGCGCGACGGGGCAGAGGCAACGCCCACGGGCGACACGCGGCTCGGCAGGGCAGCGCGCTGGCTGCAGGGGCGGCTCTCGGGCCTGACGGGCCTGCAGAGGCGGCTCGGGGGGGCCTGACGGGTCTGCAGAGGCGGCTCGGGGGCCTGACGGACCTGCAGGGGCGGCTCGAGGGCCGTACTAGCTTGCAGGAGGCAGCGCGAGGGCTGCAGGACGGCACGCGGGCAGACCGAAGGGCAGGTCGCACGGGGGCGCACGAGGGCGCACGTAAGGTAGGGCGCACGAGGGCGCACGAGGGCGCTTCTAGCGGAATAGTGGGCCCGTAGGAGAAAGCGGTCCTAGGTAGCAACCTAGGCTCGTGATACCATGTTAGAATGTAGAACTGAACGAGAATGTGTGAAACTAGGCAGCAGGGTGATACAAGTAGGAAACCCTAGCAATGTTGTACCCCCTAAGGCTAAACCCACTATAGCCTACACAATATGAACATGTATAATGTTTGACAGCCGGTGCGTTGGTCAGCCCGAAAGGCATCACTGTGTACTCGAATGACCCGTACCTAGTCCTAAATGCTGTCTTGGCGCAGTCTGATGTTTTGACCCGAATCTGGTGGTATCCTCCCCGTAAATCAATTTTCGAAAAGACCCGTGCTGTTCGCAATTGATCTATCAGTTCGTCGGCGCGAGGAATGGTATATCGCGAGTTGACTGTAACCCTGTTCAGGGCTCTGTAGTCGATGCACATGCGAAAACCTCCGTCCTTTTTCGGTGTGAACAGTATCGGTGCGGCGAACGGCGACGAGCTCGGTCGGATGAGTTTCTTCTCTAGTAGGTGATCTAACTGCTTCCTCTGTTCGTCGAGCTCGTGCTGTGTCAGTCTGAACTGTCGCTGTACGGTTGGCTGTGCCCCGGGTTCTAACTCTATTCGGTGGTCGTGTGCTCGCTGAGGTGGCAGTCCCTCCGGTAAGTCGTCGGGAAAAATCCCAGGGTACCGTTTCAACAAAACCTGCAGTTCGGGTGGTACTGCTGCCAGCAGTTTCTGAAAATCGCTCGGCTGTTCAGCTTCCTCCACTACTGCTATATCCACCGCATACACGTCAGCTCCAGCGGCGACAGCCCGTTTCATTGTGATGGCGTTGACGTGGACCGTTGAAGACTCAGGCGACTGCCAGCGAGGTAGCTCAACCCAGTTACTGCTACTTCGCACAGTGCAGCTACCCGTCGTCCAGTCAATTCGCGGGTTATACCGTCGCAGCCAATCACGCCCCAATAAAATGTCATGCCCATCGAATGTCGTCGCGAGCATTTTTTGTGTAAACCCGAAGTTCCCCCCGCAGCGGACTTTTACTCTCTCCACCTTCTCCCGTATGGCCAACGGCGTTCCGTCAACTAAGCGTGCGTCTATTTCCTGTAAACACCGACTAAGTGTCAGTTGCAGCTTCCGTGCGGTCGCGGTATTAACCAAACTGTGACTTGCTCCTCCGGCTATAAAAATCTTCACTGCTGCTCCCTGTATTTTCCCATGGATCAGTACTGGGCAATCCGTCGCTGTACCCTCCTTATTCGTCCGAGCGCGATCGATATCATGAATCGGTACTGTGACTCGGTGAGGGTTGGTAAGGTTGGGCGAGAAGGTTGTCTCGTCAGTAGTTGGCTCGATTCCTACCGACTGCTGGCGTTTCCCTGCCTTGGAGACTCCCTCCCCTGCTCTACTCTGCTCTGCTCTGCGGCATGTACGGTGGCGTGCTCGATCGGTCCCCGAGGGCGACGTCCGTAATAGGACCCCGCTCTCGGACGGTGCAAAATGTCGATTTTCTCGGCGAGCGCGAGAATCTCGTTGAAATTCGAGAGTCCGCGGAGCATGATTTCTTGCGAGATGTCCGGCTTTAGCCCTCCGACAACGGTCCACCCGCTCCGCTTC